CTTTTAATGTTTAATTGAACTATTCATATCTTAGACTGCACTGTAACTTTTATCCATGTACTTTTTCTTTTAATGTTTAATTGCACTGTAACTTTTATCCATGTATTTTTTCTTTTAATGTTTATTTTATTAGCTTTTCTTTTTAATGACTGATTTTAAATGCCATTTTCTTAATCTCTTTCATTTTTTGTAAAGCACTTTGAATTGCCTTGTGTTGAAAAGTGCTATATAAATAAACTTGCCTTGCCTTGCCTTGCCTGCCTTCAGACACGCCCACCGCTAAGCGTCAACGCACGCTGCTGTGTGGACGCTCCGTGCGGGTGTAACGGTTCACAAACATTTCGGTTCGGTACGTACCTTGGTTTTTAGGTCACGGTTCGGTTCAGTACGTTTTCGGTACAGCAGAAAAAAAATTATCACAAAACATAAAACACATTTTTTTTTTTTTTTATTATTATTAAACTGTGAATAATGTATTCACTCAAATAAATACTAAATATAATAAAATAAACATTAAGGTGCAGCATTTGGATGAACTGAAATAATATGTATTTGAACTTTACTGTACTAGTACTTACAAAACATAAACTATTAGTTTTGGGTTTTTAATTATTATTAAACTGTGAATATTCACTCAAATAAATACAAAATATAATAAAATAAACATTAGGTGCAGCATTTCGATTAACTGAAATAATCTGTATTTGAACTGTACTGTACTAGTACCTAAGCAGCCAGCTTGACATTATGACTTGCTTGTATATTCATGTGTTTTAAAAAAAAAAAAAAATGAACTTGTCCACATTGCTTGCCGAAAGGGCAGATCTGCTGGCACTAACAATGTCTCCTGCTGTGGAGAATACCCTCTCGCTACACTGCAAAAACGCCCTGTCAAATTTAAGGCCAAACGTTCTAGATATAAGCATGCTTGCACTTAAAACAAGCACATTTGGCTGCCAGTGCAGTAAGCAAATTTGGGGGCTGGAGCTTTTGGAGCTACAACGAGCCGTTAAAGGCAGAGAGTGAAATTCAGTGAATACACGTAGTTTACAGAGATGCTGTTTGAGAAACTAATGTGAGGTTGGAAAAATGCACAGTATAAATCTATTTTAGTAGACCTCAACAATGGAATTATGATCAGTGGAAATGGCCATGACACCTCTCCTTTAAAACAAGTCAGGCTGTCCAACTGTCATTATAGCACATACAATCTTGAAATAAGATTAAAAACACTAATTTCAAGCAATCTAGTTAAGCCTATTTAATGCAAAATAAGCCTATTATCACTCAAAACAAGGGTACTTTTAGCATCATTACTTGAAATAAGATTAAAAACACTAATTTCAAGCAATCTAGTTAAGCCTATTTAATGCAAAAGAGGCCTATTATCACTCAAAACTAGGGTACTTTTAGCATCAAATTACTTAAAATGAGATTTATGAATTTAGGGAGGCGTGTGGCGCAGTGGGGAGTGCGTTGGTGTTAGGATCAGGGGAGCACAGGTTCAAACCCCACTGCAGTCAGCATGTCGTTGTGTCCCTGAAGACACTTCACCCCAAATTGCTCCTTTGGGGATTGCCCACAGTATTGAGTATGTAAGTCACTTTGGATAAAAGCGATAACAAGTTACATGTAATGAAATTCTTGTTTTTAGGGAGCTAAATTAGAACACATGCTCTTAAAATAAGTAAACATGACAATTCTTTCAAAAAACACGTTTTTATTAAGTCAGTCCATAACAAACAGGATCATTTTTCAAATTAACAAAGCTCTTCAACATATATACATCCTCATAGAACTGACAAACATTGGACACAGAATTCAAGTTCTCTACTTTTTTGTAAATTCTGCCCATTCAGCTATTGCTTTTTTGTATGAATGGGTAAGGTCACGCTCGTGAATACTGTCTTTCAGTACCTCAGTCTGGATGACGGATAGGAGAGTAGCAACACATTTGGGGTAGGTGAGGTGGAAGGTGTAAAAACACCCAATCAGGATGAGTGGAACCTCGTGCATCATTTCCTAGGGTCATCAGTGGGATTTTGCCAACAGCCAGGAGGAGGTTAGTAGAGTCTACCAAGATGACTGGACTGGTGATGGGCCGTTTCTGGAGAAACGTATTGGGGTCCTCAGATGGCTGAGAGCAACAAAGTAGAGACAAAAAGTAGAACAAAAATTAAACCTCAGGGCATATCAAGTTTTATTTCAGTTTAACTGATACTGACTCAGACTCACCTCAAGAACATGGAACAGTGCCTCACTTGCTGACCCAAGCTTTTTGGCTGGGGCAGTTGGGGAAGGAAACATTGAGGGAAGTGCCTTCATCAAAGCAATCGCTTGTCCAGCTGAAAAACAATATGGATACATGATCAAATGCATTGTGCTTGTTTTTGTTAGGCAATTTGACTTTGACATTAACGGCCCGTCCACACAGCGGCGTGCGTTGAAGTCACTTTTAGCCGAACTGCATTTTGGGAAGCGACGTGGAGCGTTGCTGGCTTCAAAAGTTGAGCAATGGTCAACTTTTGACGCCTCGACGGAGGCGTCAGCCAATTAAATCCCGTTTATGCAAATCTGCCAGTACAAGCGTTAGCCAATCAAACCGTGTCTATGCTGGGAGAGACTACGCAGATCATTTCCTCATATTCCAAAAAATGGAGGGAAAATTCATTATAGCGGTAGTGAATCACCCGGTGCTGTATGATCAGTCTCTGTTCATCTACCGGGATACAAACTGGAGGAGCGAGGCATGGAGGGAGGTGGCAAAGACAGTGGATGAAACTGGTAGGTTTTCGCCTGTTTGGGGATTTTATATCCAGTTTACTTCGTTTTAACATTGCTATTGCTTTGTATGTCGGGGGCGGGAGATTCATGTGATTGGTTGTTGGTCGCGTTGCTCGCAAAAAATCCCCAAGCTTCAGATACGCCCACCTCCAAGCGTCAACGCACGCTGCTGTGTGGACGCTCCGTAAGTGTTGTGTAACTGAAAAGTAAGCACAAAAGCAAAACAATATTTCTGTGCAGAGCCCAAGGGAGTATAAGCTAATCATGGAAAAACTATGCTGTTGGTGAACGACAGTGTATGCGTGTATCCCTGAAGCAACATGAATCTTAATGTCACCTTGGGAAATTGTACATAAACTGGTGCTACTTTTTTTTCAAAATTGGCCTGAATGTTGCGCTAAGACAGAGAGCGTGGGATCACCAAAATCAAACGGTTCTCCTAGGGATATTGAATGTGCACAGCGAAATGAAAGAGTGAAATAAAAACGATTGCAGTTATTGGATCAGCAAACTGAAAGTTTGGCTGGATAGTGGGGGGGCAGCGATCGGGGGGGAATTTATAATATCCCTGACACTTTCACTGCAGGGGATATAAAAAGCACTTGTCAGTTGCACAAGGGAAAGCAAAACAATATGGGTCACCTGTATACATGACATAAGGTAGTAGTGTTTAAACCCTCTAGTGACCTCTACTACCTTATAGCCATAATTCAGTCATCAAAAAGGAGATCCTGTCCTATCAAAATAATGAAAATAAGCTAATACAATCACATCCCATGCGGCCATTAAATGGTCACCCCCAACCTATAAAACATCAGTGTTATCTATACATTATGCTTACATTTATCCAGACCCATTGGCAGGGATGCAAACTCATCAGGTATGAAAAAGGTGACAAGGATCCGAGCCCCCCAACCCCACGGAATATCGGCTTTAAAATGAGGAATAACAGGATGTTAGCAGTCAGAACAACTAAAGCAGCAGTTAGTAATAACAGAAACGCCAAAGAGTCACATCTAATAGAAATATATAAAAGCATTTATTTTAATTGTGGAGCAGTCAGTTTATATTTTTGGCAGCACTGTTGAGCATTTTGAAAATGTATTTTCATGCCTCTGTGCAAGGCTTAGTCTTTCTATCTGTATAGCCACTGGTGTAAAGTAACTAAATTAATAAACTCAACAAGTACTATACTTGGGTACAATTTTGAGATACTTGTACTTTATTTAAGTATTTCAATGTTTTGCTACTGTGTTCTTCTTCTCCTCTACAGTTCAGAGGTAAATGGTGTACTTTTCCTCCACTACATGTATTTAATACCTTTAGTTACTTCACAGATGTGGATGAATGATGTGAAATCTAATCAAGTGTTAAATCAGACTTTAGTTCCACCTGGAGTAAATCCACAAGCTACCCTGCAGTATACAAAGTCATTCAAACTAGCTGCACCTTTACCAGCTTTGAGAACACTTTCATGATCAATCATTATAAAACATATCATATATATTATTCTGAAATGGACCAATCTGCACAACGACTACTTTTACTGTCGCTACTTTCACTATATTTTGATGATAATACTTTTCTACTTTTACTTGAGGAACATTTTGAATGCAGGGCTTTTACTGTAACAGAGTATTCCTCCACTCTGGAACTTCTACTTTTACTCAAGTACAAGACCTGAGTACTTATACTATTACTCAAGTACAAGATCTGAGTACTTCTACTTTTACTCAAGTACAAGACCTGAGTACTTCTACTTTTACTGTCGCTACTTTAACTATATTTTGATGATAATACTTTTGTACTTTTATTTGAGGAACATTTTGATTGCAGGATTGTTCCTACACTGGTACTTCTACTTTGACTCAAACCTGAGTACTTCTACTTTTACTCAAGTACAATATTTGTGTACTTCTACTTTTACTCAAGTACAAGATCTGAGTACTTCTACTTTTACTCAAGTACAAGATCTGAGTACTTCTACTTGTACTCTAGTACAATATCTGAGTACTTCTACTTGTACTCTAGTACAAGATCTGAGTGCTTCTACTTTTACTCAAGTACAAGATCTATACTTATACCACCTGTTTCATAGCCTATGAAAAAAACTATTGGAAAACTAAGGCTATAGCTAACGTTAGCAGATAGTGATAATGTATGCTAGTTAGCCAGCTCAACGATAATATTGCGACAGAAACAGTTTTCAGTGCACATCACGCTCTGCCGCTCCGACAGGGAGTCCTGCTCTGAACACCTGAACGGCCCGTTCTAACAGCAGTTCACCAGCGGTCCAGTCTGTGCCACAGTGACTCCGGACCACAGTTAATATTAACAAACGCACCCATAGGTAATGTAGCTGAGCACTGAAGCTAGACCATCATCGCGGCCGCAGATTACTCCGGGTCCCAGACCCCCCCCATACCCCAAAAATATTTGTATTGCAGATCTACATGAATCACACACACAACCTATTTTGGATTCAAAACGGCGAATTTCGCGGAAGGGGACAAGTTTGCATCCCTGCATTGGTGGCTTCAACGACTTGTTCCACACTCCAAAGAACAGCGCATTTTCGCAAAAGCTTTCCCATCCGGCTTTGATCTGGTCAGTGAAGTTCTTGTTGCCTGCCTCTAGAATTCGGCTCATCTCGTCCAAAACCTGAGTGTAAAAATCAATAGAACTTTGATACAGAGAAAACAGCAAACAGATGTTAGATGTCTAAATAATTAACAAGAGATTTACCTTTTAAGAGTGACACAGTTGTGTCATCAAATCTATCCATCTCACCATGAAGAAGCATTCTGTAATTTACAGGAAAAGACGGCCACTGTCATTTTAAAAGTCAACTCCAAAAAAAATCACATTAAAAAGGCATCAGACACTAAATTGTAAAATTGCTGTGATTCACTATGAACTAGCTAGGTCGACGTTAGCTAGTCTACCACCACCCTTTGCGTTTTTAACTAACTGCTAGCTTTTAACAGATACAATTACTGAATACCAAAAGAAAACGTATGATATTAACGTCAGCTAATTTTGTGTTCCTTACAGACAGTTTATTTATCTGAGAGTAGTTAACGTTAGCTAGCTTAATTTTTACATACCCCATTAGTGAGGTTAAGGTTACCCATGAAACATGAAATGTATGTGAAACAACACAAACTACCATTGATCTCATTCTGACCTCTGACAAGTCCAGGATCTCCAGTAAAGGGGTTATAGCATGCGGTTTAAGTGATCATTATATGATATTCTGTACCCGCAAAAAGCTAAAAACAAAGGGCTGGCTGTCACAAAACAGTCATATCTAGAGACCTCAAAAACTACTCTAGCGAGGCCTTTAACCTAGAACTGGAGAGCCTGGACTGGTCAGATGAGCTCAGTGGTACACAAGTTGAAGAAACATGGCTTGGTTTCAAAAACAAATTCTCTGCAATACTCAATGATTTGGCCCCCCTAAGAACAACCAGGGTAAAAAATCGCGCTGAGCCACGGATGCACTCCGGCATACTGACCGCCATGAAAACCAGAGACAAAAAATGCTCTGAGTTTCATAAAAGTCAGTCAATGCTTTCCAAAAGCACGAGCAGTGAACTCCAGGCCCACGTGACTGAACTAAAAATTGAAAGAAACAGACTAAGAAATGACATAAGCTCCATGATCAAAACTGCCAAAAAGAATTTCATCAATGTCAAAACTGAGGAAAACAAAAATAAACCCCGTGAACTTTGGAAATTACTCAATAACCAGCTTGGCTGCAGTAAAAAACTCAAAACGAGATTTTCTAACTTAAACATAAAGACAGATAACAGGCTCATCACAGACAAACTGGATGTGGCCAAGTACTTGAACATTTTTTTCACAAACATAGCCACAACTCTTGTAAATAAATTACCCTCCCACTCAGGGCTTTTTGGAGTAGACCTACTACAAAAACCTAGGGGTACGCAAAGATGATTTCAGTCTAGCAAGGGTAACAACAGCAGAGGTACTCATTAAACTGAGCGCCCTCCAACCTAACAAGGCCACTGGCCACGACAATATCCCCTCCAAATTCCTCAGAGACAAAGCAACCGCCATCTCACCAGTCATAGCTCATATAATTAACCTCTCCATAAAACAGGGAAAAGTACCCAAAGACTTCAAAATTGCAAGAGTAACCCCCCTGCACAAAAAGGGCAGCAAATTGGACCCAGGCAACTACCGCCCTGTTTCTATACTTACCTCCATCTCGAAAGTCATGGAAAAAATAGTATATGAACATGTCGAAAAGTACCTTGCGGAAAAGAAACTAATCTATGAATTTCAATCTGGCTTTAGAACATCCCACTCCACTGACACATGCCTTCTTTATTTGAGCGACCACATCAAACAAGAGGTGGACGAGGGCAAGTACTGCGGCATGGTGATGCTGGACCTACAAAAGGCTTTCGACACTGTCAATCACCCCATTCTGATTGACAAGCTAAAAGCAATTGGTTTTGATAAACTATCGGTGAGCTGGATGCAATCCTACCTGGAGGGGAGAGAACAGATGGTGGAGGTAAACGGTACTCTGTCCCCCCCCCCTCCCAGTGAGCTGTGGTGTTCCACAAGGAAGCATATTAGGTCCGTTACTGTTCCTAATTTATGCAAACGACATGTCATCAGCATGTGACTGCAACTTGTTCCTGTTCGCGGACGACTCAGCCCTGCTGGTCTCTGACAGGAGCAGATTGCAGGTTGAAAAAACCCTCAGCTCCGAGCTCGGCAGAATATGCACCTGGCTCGCCGATAATACATTATCATTACACCTGGGTAAAACAGAGTCCATTCTCTTCGGTTCGAAACATAATCTCAGCAAATCCGACGACTTCTCAGTTGCAGTGGGTGATATTTTTGTCACAAGTAAGAAGGAAATTACATACCTAGGATCTATTCTTGAGGCAAACCTCTCCTGTGACAAAATGGCATCCAATGTAATAAAAAAAGTAAATCAAAGAACTAGATTCCTATACCGGATCTCCTCTCTGGTAAACAAAAACACCCTGAAAACTCTGGCAGGAGCACTTATTCAAGGTTACTATGACTATTCTTGCACGTCATGGTACCATAGCACCTCCAAGGCGCTAAAAATAAAACTTCAAACATCGCAAAAATAAACTGGTCAGACTACTGCTTGACCTTTCATCTAGAACCCACCTCACCTCTGCCCACTTTGACAACCTAGGATGGCTTAGAGTAGACGACAGAGTACAGCTACTTGCAATGGGCCTGGTCTACAAGATCCACTACACGTCTATGGTACCCATGTACATGTCAAAATTCTTCCCAAAGGTCAAGGAATACCATGATCATAACACCAGAGGGAGCTCCACAAATCATGTGAAACCCAGATTTGGCACAAAAAAGGGGGAATACACGTTTCGCAATTATGCCACATCAAGGTGGAACGCTCTTCCCACAACTGTAATGGAAAGTAAAACTACACTTACCTTCAAAACCTCTCGTAAAGAGCACCTTCGGGGGAGAGCATTGCAAAACTGGCCCCGGTAATGGTACAAATCTCAACCTGTCGTACAATGGACAGCTTCCCCCCCCCCCAATCTATGTATATACTCGCATTTTAGACTCTGTTACTAACTGTATATCTGTAGACTTGGTATGTCTTAAATGTCCGGTTAGGATGTATTAGAACGAAATCTAAAATGAAAATTGTAAATAATTAATCTGTATGTAAAAAACCACCTGTATGTAAATTGTAAATAAGCCATCTGTATGTCAAATATGTCTTAAATGATATGATGAATTGGAAATGGGGGACCCTGATGTAAACAAGACGAAAGTCTTTCTCTGGTCTGCATCCCCTTAACAATTGTATGTTTTGAGCTGTACTGTACTGTACCCAATATACAAGCTGTTAATACACTTTTCAATCAATCAATCAAGCTAGCAACACGTGCTTCGTAGTTAGCTAGCTATCTTAGCTAATTCAGCTAACAGTTAACCAATGAATTTACTACTACTTAATAAATTGAAAGCACTAATATGTTACATACGCCTATGGACTTGTATTCCTACGTTCAGTTACTAACGTTACCTTAACTGCACTTCTTGGTCGCTGTCCTGCCTGTCTCTGGTGAAGGTGAACCATGGGCATAGATATGTCTCATAATTATTTGTGTGAACATAAACATAATTTGTGTGTAAATATGTGATTTGTAAATGTAAAACACTATCCACAAATGCATTTAAAAGATTTGCAAACTCACAAATACATTTGCAAGTGTAAAACGGATCTGCAAATACGCTAAATATGTTCACAAATAAAAAAAGATCTGTGAATATCTCTTTAACATTTACACCTTTCGATCAGGCATTTCTGAATCCAGTTTGTATTTGTGGACCAAAAATGCACTTGCGGATCTCAAATCTCTGTTCACGGATATCAAATCTCTGTTCGCGGATCTCAAATCTCTGTTCGCGGATCGTCTGTTTACACACACGGAATTTTGAGACATATTTTCCGCCGGTCTCGGCTAAAATCTACTCGTGTCACTCGGTTATTTTCGGAAACCACGTGATGGCCTGCTGATGACGACATTTCCGCATGATTTCAAAGTAAGAGCATGATGGTTTGTTTAATGCTCTGTTTTTGTATTATAATGAACAGCGGAACGTTAGATGCATTCTTCATCACCATCATGTTATAGTGATACAGTTAGTTTGTGTTATTGGTTCAATATAGCATATATCGAGCACTTTCGTTGATGTTGAAGTGCAGGCTATACGCCACTTTCGGGTCCCGGGGGAACAGCTGGTAGCGAAACAGCCCAGATAAAACTCTGTATTCATTGTTTGTTGTGTATTCAGTCAAGCGGGTCGAAGTTACAAAGCACTTCACATCATATAAATGAAGGTGTAGTTTATTTGAATAAAGTTATTGTTTACAGACGTGGGTAAGATGTGACAACATCCGGAATGACCAGAAACCAAACCAGCCGTGAAGTATTTTCTGTATTTTTTAGAATATTAACTACAACGTTTAGAATGTGTTAAAGGAAAAGTGATGAAAGACAATATGAGGAGAAGAGGCGTGTTTAAGTATGTATTGAATGAACAATGCCTGAATCCTCTGTTTAAACGTAACAACGGACATTAAGATGTGGAGGGCCGGCCCGCAGGGAGGAGCCTACAGAAGCTATATAAGAGCAGCACCTGAGCGGTTCGGCCTCTTTTCTCTGCTAGCGAGGGCCAGAGACAGCTGCTTTTCTGTCGGACAATATCCTGTTTGTGACTGTACCGCGCCTTTTATTAATTAAAGTACCAATTTGAAAACATCTCAGAGACTCCATTTAGTCTCCTTTTTAAGCTTCTCTTTCCTGGACGCGAGAATAACCATCACAGTTAACAACTTCACATCTTATTAATCGGCCTAATTGTACCTTACCAGTGCAGTAATAAAGTAATCTGTAGAAAAGCACCGTATTTAGGTCAGGGTTATGGTGATGAAGAATGCATCTAACGTTCCACTGTTCATTATAATACAAAAACAGAGCATTAAACAAACCATCATGCTCATGACGGTCATGCGGAAATGTCGTCATCAGCAGGCCATCACGTGGTTTCCGAAAATAACCGAGTGACACGAGTAGATTTTAGCCGAGACCGGCGGAAAATATGTCTCAAAATTCCGTGTGTGTAAAAAGACGATCCGCGAACAGAGATTTGAGATCCGTGAACAGAGATTTGAGATCCGTGAACAGAGATTTGAGATCCGCAAGTGCATTTTTGGTCCACAAATACAAAATGGATTCACAAATGCCTGATCAAAAGGTGTAAATGTTAAAGAGATATTCACAGATATTTTTTTAATTTGTGAACATATTTAGCGTATTTGCAGATCCGTTTTACACTTGCAAATGTATTTGTGAGTTTGCAAATCTTTTAAATGCATTTGTGGATGTTGTTTTACATTTAAAAATCACATATTTACACACAAATTATTTGTATGTTCACACAAATAATTATGAGACATATCTATGCGCCCATAGTGAACTGACCAACGCGTTACATTCCGCTGGGGCTGCGGAGCTTGGCTTGTGGTGCGTTCAGGTGATCCTCGTGAAATAGGAAATTCCCCTTTTGCCATCATTTGGACACAAACAGCCATCCACTTGTAAACACTGAGGACTGAGGAGGATCTCTCGATGTAAATAATATAGTACTGGCAGTGGCGGCGCCAGAGTATTTGTGTTGGGTAATCTATGGTAGGGCTAACCCATACAGTGGTGGGGCTCAAGTCAGTATTTGCAATGTAATTACACACGATATATATCGCCCCCCTTGACAGTGAAACGCCAAGCGTGAGGCTTTTATTAGCTTTTATTAGTCTCCTTTTATCAGCTAAATTACATCGAGAGCAACAGGTGTGAGTTAAACAATACAATAGCCTATTCTGCTAATTACACGTTGTTACAACATGCTACGCAGCGGCAGAAACAAGAAAAGTTGGCATATAGAATTGACACGGAGAGGGAGAGAGAGAGAGGGAGGGAGAGAGAGACAGAGAGAAGAGGCTTCTCAATACTCAAATTTCCCCTCCTCGACTCCTCGGTCCTCCGTTAGTGACCCGGAAATGAATTTCAGCGCGCCATTTTGAAGGACATCTCATTTCTCTAAATGCACACCGAGGACCGAGGATCGAGCGTCGAGGAGGCTTTCTGGAGGACACTGATGGTTCCTCCACGGCTCCTCCACGGATGCATTTCCGGGAACGGTGGAGGCGTGACGCACGGCTGGACTTATCTCAGCCAATGACAGCTATGCATGCATCCCCTGGATATTATTTTAGAAACTGCTTTCATCGGTCGCGATGTTTCCAGAGAGACCAGCTGTAAGGTCCATGCAGAAAGCAGAGCAGTGTGTATCATATATATCACTCAGTATAACAGGCCTACTCTCTTTATTTGTTTTAGTTTAGTAGATATCTACAAACAAAGAGTCGATATTTTTCTAAGACCATTGCTTCACATAATAAAATACACAACGGCTTATGCTTTAGGAGCTGTAGGTGTGTGTGGTACAGTGTGTAGGTGTGTGTTGTACAGTGCGTAAATGCGGCGGACAGACGGGTCTCAGTTGGTTTGGTGTCCTCTGCTTACTTGTAATACTTGTAAATACAACTTTTGGCCCGTAATTTAAATTCCTCATTTCAGCGACCAGAGAGAGGGGGGGATATATCCAGTCTCTGATTGTGTTATTATGAGAGTGCTCTCATACTTTAAATTGTATATATTTATTGTATATATTTATATAAATATATTTGTGTGTGTGTGTCCGCATCTGTAGCCTGTTATTGTCTCATTATACCGCACTCTCAATGAATTCAAAGTAAATATGTGGGGGAACAATGTTCAGCTGATCTAACAGAGATACAGCGCTATGACAAAACACTCGACAGCTGATGCAGCTGTTGCCACGTAATAATGAACGGACGTCGCTTTAATATGACCGCTCAGAGGAGAGGAGTTCTCATTTCTTTAAACGTCTGCTGCATCCCCTCCTCTTATCTTAACGATATTTTGAGGGGAAAGTGTGGTAGCACAAGCAGGCTATGTTGCTGTCACTGCCAGGGCAGTCACGTCCGTAGTATAGTTGCGCTGCGCTGTCATGTTCTTCTATGGGACAGACAGAAGCGATTGCGTTATTGAATGGTAAATATATATATTAAAAAAACACACACACCCAAGTACTTTTTCAGCTGTAATTGCATTATTGCATACTTTTTATTGACAGTTTTGCATTTGGAGAGGCAGGGTGACAACGGAAAGCTTGGTAGCCTATTACTTATGGCGCGTTTCCACTGCAGCGGGGTAGCCCCGTTTAAGCGTCCCTAAGCGTCCTCGCTCTGGCCTCGGGCTGCCTCGCTGGCCGGCCCAGGCCGTGGCGCATTTCCATTACAGTTTAGGACCTGGGGTAGCAACGCAGTGTAAGCGGGGCGATCAGCTTTGTTTTTGTTCACATTTCGAGTTGTTCCGTCGAGCTCCCACTGGATTTGATCAACCCCAATGAGATGTAGGAACGTCGTCACCTCCTCGGTCGACTACGGTGTGCTTTTCTTATTAGACGTAGCCATTGTTGTAGCTCCTCCGTTTACAAAATGCTGTTTATAAAAATGCTGCAAGCTTGCTTCTAGATATATATGCGACGCTAGGGATGAACTCGCACGCAATCTTGTGACGATTCTCTCTGACCAATCAGCAGTCGAGAGTGTTGACGTCACTAGTTCAGCCCTGGCCCTGGTCTGAGGGAACCACGATTTTATGAGGCCGGAAAAAGAGGGAAAAAGTACCCGCTGGCCGGTACTAGGCTATATGGAAACGCCACCAAAAACCGGCCTGGCCGCTTGAGGACGGTTAAGGACGCTTAAACGGGGCTACCCGCTGCAGTGGAAACGCGCCATTAGATACGTTTTACATTTTTGGAGGGAAACGTTTGTGTTCATGTTAGCATGGGTAGCATGATCATGTTAAGACTATGAATATCATTTTACCACAACAGTGGATGAACAATTGATATATGTGTTTGAACAAGAACAACAGGAAGAACAAAGTAAAAGGGACGAACAAATGTGTGAACAAGTATTAAGAACAGTGTATGGAAAAAGTGATGTGATGTGGGATGTGTGTTAGAACAAAACAAAGTAAAATGAATGAGAAGGAGAACAAAGAGGGTTAGGGTTCAACAGAAAAAGATTAATTCAGCCAAAAAACACAATTTTGATTAATCTAAAGTGTAAAACAATCTTCAACACAGACCAAATTAGTGCCCTTGGACAACAAAATATATGGTGGGGCAAAGAAACGATAAATTAAATTGAGATAGTGGGAGACTAAAAATGATTACTATGATAAATATTCAAACTATTTACAAAACTATTTACAGAAGCTCCTGTTGAACCAGCAACAAAAACAGGTTTGTCAACAATAACGAGGCCACTTTGCCAGGGGGAGGTGATCAGCGACGAGACAATAAAGCAATTAATATTAGGTTCTGTTGAGACACTACAGAATATAAAACCTTCCAAGCCATGACCTCTGCCTGAAATCAGGACCACTCATGCCCCTTTCACACCAGCGCTTTTTCAGCTCCGGCTCGGAGCTGGAGCTTAAAAGCGCCGGTTTTTCCTGTTCACACCGCAGCGGCGCCGGCTTAGCTCCGGAATCCGGTTCACTTCCAGCTCCAAAAAATTGTCGGTCTAGAGGCAAGAGCTTCGGAGCTAAGAGGTGGCGTCGCTTACGTCTCTCTTACGTCGAGGCGTGCAG